TTCAAACTTGGAAACAAAGTTCAGTGGATTGCTTTTTAACTTTATGGAATGGGTATCCATCATTTTGTGTCATATTGATACAGAGCTTTTGCCTGTTCTTGTTTGTAAAACTGATTAAGTCCCCCAAATTAGATGGTGAACATCTGCAAACATTTTAAAAGTTTGGGAAATCTTTCAAATTTTGGCTCCAATTTTCAGTTGTACTTAGGTCTGTACCTTGATTAGGCCATGCTCAAAATATCATTTTGATTTAAATATACCCATTATTGCTCTGGCTACAAGGTAAATCCTTGCCCAAGTTTTGATTGTTAGCAGTTTCTGGAAGTCTCACATTGTTTGGATTCTCACTCCAAAGCATAATTGATTGATTGATTGATTGATTGATTGATTGATTGATTGATTGACTTAATTGATCTCACATAGTAATTTCTATTTCTAATTGAGTGAAAATATGTTAAGGTTGATAAGCAGGGTTGATGCTAGTTTTATTTAGGAGTATCAGAGATCATTACCGATGTAGAACACAATTTCAGATTGTTGATTTATATGAACAAACAAAATCCTCTACTTTGAACTGATCTATCACAAAGAAATCAAAATAAAATTGACTTAAATTTGTGGTAGTAAGTTGCAAAAAGTTGAGAGATGTGATTGACTAAAAAATGATATCCTGGTCACTGCTTTGGAGGCCCTTAATAAACTGCTCTGGGATTTTGCAGTGCCTTTAGCTAAAGTTAATTGAGAACGATTTGTTGAGTTATGTCTCAAATATGATTGTGGTTGGAAAAACACTCCATGTGCAGCCACTCTCTTACCGGTGCTCGAAAATCAGGAGGAGGTATTCGAATCTAGTTTCACGCCCAGGTCAACGATATAGAGGAGAGGCGGTGAGGCTGCTGCCATCTTTATAAAGCCCTGCTGGAGGCGTTACTTGGCTAGAACTGCCTACCTGTGCCACTACCGACGCAAACGGGCGGTTCAGATTATCTCATTGTCATGGCTGATGCACGCTCAAAGATGCCAAGTGAAGAGAGCCCTCCAGGCCATGCGCTTCAGTCAGCTGGAGAATTATTGCAGAAGAGCAAAGGTGATATACCTGCAAAGTTTTTTTTTTTTACTTGATTATTTTTATTTTATTATTGTTTTTAATTCAGGATAAGAAATTGGAAAAGAGAATTGGGAAAAGATGAAACTGATTTGACAGAAGTTTAAATTTTGTATGTGTTTGACAAGAAAAAAAGCAAAAATCAGAGAACAGAAAAAAATAGCTATTGATAAATTACATATAAAGGTGGTTTAGTGTGTTAGAAAATGTTATAAATAATAGATTATTATTTCTTCTTTAATAATTATGTTAACAATCCTTTAACTATTGATTTTTAGTATTATTCCCAATTTTTTTATTCGTCACAGTAAAAGTAGGAATAGTAGTTATTATTGCTATAATTACTTATCCAAGTGTATTTTAGAATCATATATTTCTTGTTTTTTGGGTAAAGGTTAATATATTCTTAATTGAGAAGTAAAGCATAAAATATAGCACTGTTCTTGTCAAAATTGACTAAAAATTCATTCAAACCTTCATATAGAACAAAGTGAAACAATTAGGCAAAAGAAATTCTGTTTTTCTCACTTAATTAGCATTTCCAATTTATTTCCTTTTAACTTTTTTTGGTTATTATTCTAATCTTATAATTTTTCTGACAGTGACTGTAAAAAAACCCGTTCCTCTCTGACAGCACTGTTGTTCTCAACGTGCAGTGTTCTTTAATTTTGCTTCTGTTATGTGTAGATGTCACATCTGTGCTGTTATCTGGCCTGAACGTCTTTTAGAGCTCTGACACAATATTAATTAGAGCCTACAAGTTCATTTAGTTTGAACATCTCTGTGTGTGTATACATGCACTTAATGCATGCTCTCACTCTTTAAACATTCATACCCTGTTAATTAAGCCTGCTAATCTTCCCCTGGCAGTAGCATCATGTACCTTGCTGATTGAATTAATTGTGAGAGGATGTTTCCGAAAGTAAACCCTTAATTTAATTATGATGGTATTTTATGCTTGGTTTGGTTCTGTGAGCCAAGAGAGATTGGTTTGGTGTGTTTTATCCATGCAGTGATGAGATGATTTGTGTGTGTGTGCTCAGCCAGCCTCCTACATGATCACTTCTTTTCTCCGTCCCCAGCATCTGGCAGCGAACTGGAAACACATCCGGTCGTCCAAGAGGACTATTATCCACATCCCTTCATTAGGTGGCTGTCGTCGCCTGCCGCACACACTCCAACACACGCACATTTGATCTGCAGACAGTCCTCCCCAGTCTTGTTGCTCCGCTGTCCCCAGCCTGTGGCCCCGGTTCAGACAGTCTGTCTCGTTCAAATGACTCTCTGCAGGAAGGCACTCAGTAGATGATGACAGCCCCTGTGCCATGGAACCAAACAATTTAGTCTCAATCGCCGTTTAATTTGCAGATTAAGCAAATGAAAAACCATTATGTATAACATGTACAAGAGGCGCAAAGGTCTTATTTTATTGCTGTGTGTGAAAAAAAAAAGCTAACACACACATATATTAACAAAAAATAATAAGGCAACCCTGATTTTGCAATAAACAAAGAGTACAAACCATGATCAGATCATGATCTAATTTCTCCACTGCACACATTTAGACTGTAATCAGGCATGTGCATTGTAAATCATTGAGCGATTGTCTAAAATTATTAAGCCTAATTACTAAGCAGATGGAATGGTTTATTTGCACTTGGGGTGGCTACAGAGAGTGCTGTGCGAGCTAGGATAATTAGAAAGTTGAACCCCATTGTTGTTAATTAGCATGAATCCAATCATTTAATTACCTTGATTCAGTTGAGGATTCCCTCTCAAACAGGCTAAGATCCTAGTGGTATCATTAGATGTAGTTTAGTGGTGGTTGGACATGGTGCACAAGGACTCCCATCACATGACAGCCTCTGCACCTGCTAGTTATTACACTGAATTAATCATAGGATTGCTTTACAGCCTGATTAGACTTTGACTCCCTTATTCCCTAGTCTAGTGACTTGCACATCCTATCCATAGCCAGCTGTACAGATGTTCTTATTGTGTCAAAGAGTTTTTGATGATTGTTTGACCTTATTCTGACAGGGTACCCAGAGAAACAGAGACAAAGCACAAAAAGATTTGACGTCCTCCAAAATAGCCAAATTAGCAGGCTGTGTGATCTTAGAGGTAGCGAAATTAATTCTGAGCTTCCTTGATGTACTGTAGATTTAATTAGTGAAACTCCTCTTTCTAATTCCAGATGAAAATCTGGAAGCGTTCTACATATGTCCCATTCATTTAGGAGAAGACATCTTGGAGTATTATTCAAGTGTTCTGAAATGCAACATTGCTAATACCGTGACCAGCCAGGCCTTATCCCATAACAGGTTTATTATTCTAATACCCGAGGCTGTGGATCTGTTCTATGTAAGCTTGATCAGATTTGTCTATTTCTTTGTGGAAATGAACGTTCAACTGGTATGAAAAAGCATTTGCAAAGACCTGACAAGTGTTACTGAGGGGTATTATTCTAAAATGTCTTGAAAAATTACTCAAAATCTGGAACTTTTTCATTTTGGTACAACACAATTTTAAGCATTAGTTGTTTTTTAGGTGGTTTTGAATAAAATCTTTCTGGAATTATTAATATGAAAGGTATTCCATGTACGGTATTTGTATTCAAAGTCCCTTTTTCTATAATAAACCCTTATAGAAAACACAACAACCAACAGATTTTAAAACATTCCTCCTTTTTAAGAGGCCATCTGTGTCTTTTAATCTCATTATAAATCCAGCTGTACTGTGAAGCCCTTTAAAGGTTTGTAAGAGATCAGTGCCTCATGAAGACCAAGGAATACACTAGTCAGGGTTACAATTTAAAGAGAAGTTTAAAATGGAAATTAAGTCCGTTGTATACAATTTTACTCCCTAAATAATTTTCATTAAAGCGATAGTTCGGTATTTTTGACATGAATCTGTATGGCATCCCCATCACCAGCGGCATGCAATCACACTGACTTACCCCTGGCAGCGTCCTGTGAGCAGAGTTATCGTCCAGTTTTGGTCAAGCCGAAAGTAGTCCGACAGGTTTTTAGAAACAGCGAAATAAAACGTTTCTCTTCCCAAAACATTATGTGTCCAAAAGAGCGATATTTTCGCATCCCAAAAACATTGTAGTGGAAAAAGTCACACGTCGTTATCAATTGGTCCTATTTTCTCTCTGTTCGTATCAGTGCGCGCCGTCATTCAGACAGCGAGCCCAACAACAGCCATGTCTCCCTCCGCCGCGGAAGGGAGACATGGCAATCAGTGTGATTGCATGCCGCTGGTGATGGGGATGCCATACAGATTCATGTCAAAAATACCGAACTATCCCTTTAAAGTTTCGGCCCAGTGATTAGGGCATAGAGCTTAGAGTCCTAAGGTTCTGAGCCACACTCCCACAGACTGCCACTCTGCGTCCCTGAGCAAAGACACTTAACCCCACACTGCTCCCCGGGCACCGCACAATGGCAGCCCACTGCTCCCCAAGGAGATGGGATAAATGCAGAGAGTTCATTTTGTTGCTCTGTAATGACAATAAAAATGCTGGATAAGTACCAAGCGTTACCTTATGGCAACTAGCATAAAAGTCTGCTTGTGAAAGCAAATCTGTTAGGCTTTCATCTAGCTCTGGGATATCGATTCCCAGAGCTATATTGACTAAACAGAAAAATATAGCCGAAAATAACAATAGATATGAATATAAAATATAAATGATACAGAGAAAAATAAAACATTGCAAACATTTAGCAGAGAAAATGATTTTGGGTGCCATGGTGGAGCACAGTGGAGAAGCACCTTCTCCAGCCACTGGGATTATGTCTTATTGTAATTCCTTTGAAGATAATTAAGACACGAGTTGGGTGCTAAATACATGGCTGAAGTACAGCTAAACAAAACTTTTGGTAATGGAGTCGGTTTTTTGACTATATCACTGAGGCTGAAATTAGCAACAGGTACACAGCAACTCCTAAAGATGAGTAAAGATAAGAGTATGAACTGTGGACGAGAACAAAGCTACTACTACTGCTATCTGCCATGGAAATTTACTGTGTTGTTTATTGCTATTGCTTACATCCCACCCTGAGGAGATGCTAAAACATATTCAGCTCACTTCAGATAAAGCAACCGGAGGCACTTTACATGGTTGCATTGGACAGACCTGAATCAAATAGCTGAGTTAGCTCCTCAGTATGCAGTCAGTTCCTCCAGAGTCCTAACAATCATCTAATTGCTTGATGTTGAACCAAAGGCACTTCTCAAAGTTGCAGGATGTACAGGCCCTCGGGAGATGCAATATCCCACCCCCTGTGTTATCAAAACAAAAAACCCTGACTGAATACTGAGATGAGAGCATTGCTGAATGCAAGGAAAAGATCAACTGTAGGCATTGCAACAGCCAAAAGCCACAAACACCTTGAGAAGTCAGGGTTACCTCACCACCAATGATCTGGAGCACATGTAGAAGGGAATCAAATGCATTGGCTACAACATCAGTGATTCAAAATGCCCAAACCAAAAGCACTCAACAGGTTCTTTGCACACATTGAAGATGCTGATCACTACCAGAAATATATCACCACCTGGTGACATGCCTCGCTGTGCAGCAAAATTGAGGAGGACTCTACAGGGTATCCGGCCCCATGCGAATTGTATACCAGGTGTCTGAGGAGATAGCACACATTTTTAACACCTCACTGTCACCGGCAGCTGTCCTAACCTGCTTTAAGTCAAAAATTATTGTCTTTCTGCCCAAGTTCTCAATGATGAATAGCCAAAATGAGTAAAGACCTAAAACCTTAACACTATTAGATATGAAGTGCTTTGAGAGGATAGTCATGATCTACATCAAGGATTCAATCAGCGTCACTGTGGACACAAATCAATATGCCTAAGGGAGGAACCCATCAATTGCTAATGCCATCTCATTGATAGTCTACAAAGCCCTCACCCACCTAGTGAGCAAAATGTACTACATCCATCTGCTCTGGATTTTTTATTTGCCTTCAACACCATCATCCCATGGATCTTGGTATGGAAGCTCTCCTCCCTTGGACCGAGTCCCATGCTGAGGAAACTAGTGCTTGACTTCCTGACCAACAGACCTCAGACTGTCAGGATTCAGAAAACCTTTTCCTCCTCAATCACCCTCAGCACCCCCAGGGCTGCATTCTAAGCCCCCCTCTGTGTACTCTGCTGACATATGACTGCTGGACAAGACTCCTTAACTGTAAAGTTTACAAATGGCACAGCAGTAGTGGAAAAGATCACAAAAATAATGAGTTTAAATAGAAGGTTGAAAATCTGGTGCAGTGGTGCAGAGACTTGGGAGATGGTGGTGGATTAGAGAAGGAGTAATGATCCTCTTCTGCCCCTGTAGCTCAGAAGAACAGCCATAAGGTGGTCTGCAGCTACAGGTAACTGTGTGTGCAAACGTAGATTGCCAACACTTCCTATCTGGTCAGGAAAGCCCATAAGCATCTCTACCTCTTTACGAAGCTATGGAGAGCTTGATGCAGGAACTTAGTCCCAAAGAACTTTTATCGCTGTGTGATGGAGAGTTTTCTCTGCACCTGTATGACCATGTGGTATGACAGTTTCACTGCTGCTAAGAGGAGGGCTCTGCAAACTGTGGTCAAGGCTGCACAGAGGACTGTAGGGAGCAGCCTTCACTCCAACTCTGACCTCTACACATTAAGAGTCAGAGAGAGGGAGCTCAGCATCATGAAGGAATCCGCCCAATCCAGCATACAGACTGTTCCAGCCTTTCCCCTTAGGCAGGCGGCTGAGGAGCATCCAGATCAAGACCACCAGGCTTCGAAACAGTTTCCATCCTGCAGCTTTTAGACTACTGATTTCAAGCTGCACTCAATTCAATGTCATCTATTTATTTTTGTTTCTTAAATATTTATACTAGGATCTAAGTCCACCATTCTTACCACAAAAAAAAGTAAACCGATGTGGCAATAAGAAATCATTGAATCTTTAAATTATACAAAGTAGACTTTGGAGAAGGAGGAGAGATTTACATCTCAAGGCAGATCGTGTTAATAATTATTTACAGTGCCTTTTTGGAACAGCTGCAATTTCTGTTGAAAGGAAAATAAGAGAATTGTTTTATAGTTTGCCATAACCCAGGAATAGTACAGCAAACATGGAAGAAGTGGACAGATACAGGCAGATAAGACCAAAAAAAAAAAGGTTTTGACCAAAATGCCAGCTGAGACAGAAAGCAAGGACGGCATATCACCAACATCAAACATGGAGATTACAGAATCATGCTTTTAGAACATCTTTCCTAGGGTTAGGAGGGAAAGGAAAAGGAAGCTGGTTGGAATAACTTAAAAGATGGATGGAGCTAGATAAATGTCAACGCTGGAATAAAACTCTCTAGAGGCTGTGAAAGCAGAGCTTTACCTTCAATAAAGAAACTAACTCTAAACAATGAAGGCAGTTTTAAGCAAAACATAAATCTAGTTAAGAGTCTGGGCCAAAACTTGATAATTGATGTTTTGTAGGTGCTCTCTTTCCGTTTTTTCTGGCATTCAATTATACCCTGCTTTGTATTTATTCTATCACATAACATTTCAAGAAGATAAATTACTTGTTTGGTTATAGTATAACAAAATGTGGGAAAAGCTCAAGATATGGAGATATTGCATGCCTGTGTAAGACCACAGAGTACTTCAGCCTTTTGTAGTCTAAGAAATGTCCTCTAGAGGGTACTAGAGGTGCTGTTAGATTGCCGTTGTCCTGAGAGAGCAGCTGCTTAATGTTGTTTAGTGCATTTAAAATTAAACTGTTTTGTATCTGTTGTTAGAAGCAGTAAGTTGATTATGTTGTGCTTAATTCAAACATTTGTAGTCGTCAATACACAGTTTTTTAGGATATAATTAAACTTAAGCTTTCTTTATGCTGCCTTTCTTGGACAATAATCAAAAATAATCCCAAGACTCTTAAGTCTTTTACATTGTACAGTTCTTTAAAAAAAACAGTAAAAAAAAAAAAAGCAAGATGACATAGCCTTTCTCATTTCTTTTTATTGTTTTTCCCACTGTTTTGGTGTTAAACTGTGCCAGACGTGTTGCTGAGATGAATCACTCCTACCCATGGCTGGCAGCGCATTCTGCCAGTGACAGAAGGGATAATTCCACGTGGATCAAATAAATACAGATGTGAAGTAATTAGTTGTATTCCCAGGGAGCTCGTTGGTCGCACACATTAACGAAGTGAATGATAGGTGAGTTTCCTGCAGGCTGGTTTTATCAATCCAACCTGCTGGTTACAGGAGAGGTCAAAACCCTGCTGGCTATTTCAACAATAGATCGTATGTATGTACACAATGATAAATCAGGGCTGGAAACAACCGTTGGAAGTCACACTGATCACACCTAACTCTAGTGTTCATCTCTAATCTCCTTAGCTTTAGACCCACAACATGTGTCTGTTTATGCTGCTAAAGTACAGTCTATGCACCCTGAAGCGTATCAAACACCTAATTTGGGGGGAGCAGACCTACATAGTGGGTTTAGTCGGACATGTAGATAACCTGTCTGTTGCTGATGAGCTGGATGTGTCGATTTTGGGTCCAGAACCAGCTATATCACAATTCCACAGCACCAAATCTGGAGGAAGAGGGATATTATCTGTGACAGGGGTTGATGTATCCCCTGGACAGCGAGATTTATACTCACTTAACCTGGTAGGAGATCAAGAACAAGACGTCAATACCTACTTTCTATCAAAGTTAAAAGATTCAAACATTTTTATCCCTGTTTCAGCTTCATGAAACATTAACTGAACTTATGAGTCTAAATATCAATATGAAGCACTGGTTCTTTAAGATCAATGTACAGCGTGGAGTTTGTGAAGCGGCATTCTGGGATGTTCTCCACCTTAGCTGCTATAACTGGGCCTTACAGCATTATCATCGTTACCGTCCTGATCTGTGGAGGTCAGAATGGATGCAGGTAGAAATGTGACACACCTATGAATATCTGTACCTCCCTGACACAAAATATCTATAAAAAGGGGTTAATGTTACTTATGTTCATAACGTTTTTTCTTTTACAGAAAAGTCATATCTACTAAGACTGACTGTTATGGGTTTTTTTAGTTGTTTTTTTTTTATACAAGCTTTATTCATATGGCTCTCTGCAAAGTACTGAGTTAAATTGAATTTCATTATTGGTTAAAGTTTTCAGTTTACACACCCCCTTGCTTTTTTTGAAGGGCAACTTCATCTAGTATGACAAAACACACATCTCCAGTAGCTTATTCTTTAACAAATATGTAAAAATGCACTTAATCACAATATCAAAATGTGTTCAACTCAAAATGTCTTATTTTACATTGAATGTACAGAATACACGTTTATAAAAAATCAAAAAATATTAATCGTTAGCTTTCTTATACTTCAAAATAGCTTTTGCTCATATTTTTACATTTATTATCCTTAAGTGCAGCAAATGCTTTATTTATTTAAAACTACACTTCACTGCACCTTGCTATTTGAAAGATTTGAGCCATTTATATTATAACAGCATTTCGTTTTGATCAGTGTATAAAATCAAATATAAGCACAGGCATATTTAAAACACATAAAATGTACTTAATCAGTGCTAAACCATTTATTTACTTCAGATGCAATCTGTACAGTTTCTCTCCCCCTGGCTCTTATTTCTCATATGCTTACAAAGTAGCCTTTGATTTTCTGTCATGTGTTAATTACCGTATTTTGCCATTTAACTGGGAGCTTTGTGCAAACTAATTACAGGCTAATGATTGTGGGCTTGGAGCACAATGATTTTACTTTTTATACCATTTGAAAGAACAGCAGTCATCTCGAGGTTCTTAGGCTCACTCTGCTTCATTCCTATCAGCTTGTTCTTTGATTCACAGGGTAGGCATTGTGCAAGACTGTAATTGTTGTGGCTTCAGTGCTGTTAATTATGGCAGAGCAGAGCTGAGCCACAGCCAAGGTCCATAATGGCGGCCCAGACTGCACGGGGAAAGTAAATGGGGTTTCTTTCACCAGCTGGGGTCCCATGGAGAGGGAAGAGTGCCGAGGCCCCCGGTGTAGACCGACAGCCTCGGGGCTCCTGGGCCATATGGACACAACACTTTAACTGCCCTTTATTTTACACCTTGCTCTTTTAATCAAAGCAAAGCCCACTTCCTGTGCCTCTCGTTGTAGGATTTTTGGTTTATTATTATTTGTTTATTGAAATGTTCTAAATATACCAGACTGTTTAGCTGTTGCACAGGGAAATACGAACACAGCAGTTTGACAGTTAATATTGAAAGATTACTAAACATTGTCGTTGATCAGAAATCAACATTTGAAAGAACTAGAGAAATTTGTTCTTCCATGGATCAGAAACAGTAACAGAAGCACAAATTTAATTCTTTAATGCTTTTTGGGCTTTCTTTTATAGAAAATGAGCACATTATAGTCACTAGCAATTGCAATACAGCAAATAAAAAGCAAAGAGAAAAGAGGAACTGGTATTTTGCAAAACATTTTGGAAACATTTCAAACATTTGGCAAAAAAAAATCTAAGCTTCAGGGTCTTTAAAGTTTTAATAATATTATTTTTTAACAAAATGATTCATTGCATGCATGAAGTATTTTGATTATTCTTTTTTTTGTCCTCTACTAAGAAAATTTAACTGTAAATTACAACAGATACCGGATTAAATTCTGAGTAAATCAAGGTGCATTTTTCTAACTAATTAAGCTAATTATGGATAAATTAATAAACACAAGAAGTGTGAATACATACTTTTTTGGAGAAAGTGGTAAACTAAAATATTGGTTCATGAAAGAAATGAAAAAAAAAAAATATGTGTGGACCCTCAGGGTACCACCAACAATTAGATCCCTTCTGGCTGAGTGAAACAAAGCCTAAAAGGGTACAAAAAGGAGGAGGAGCCATTACATTCACATCAATGGGAGCTTCCACAGAGGACTAAAAAAAAAAATCTGTGTTTCTCTAAATATTGTGAGGCCCACAGCAGCTTCCTGCACAATGTTTGAGCCTGCAGAAAGCCCCCCAGGCCTCTTTTAGCATTTACACAGAGAGAGGTTAAAGACATGTAGATCTTCAACCATGCAATGCCTGAAGGGGGCCATACACACACACTTAAGCGCTCACATAGCTTGCATATGGATCATTAGGCACAAGAGGGTAAAAATTACACATAATAGCTTCAACAGATGGAGCATTTTTTTCATCATGCTGTGTACAAACAGATCTTGAGAAAAACCTTATTTAGGTTAAGTTTGTCAACGCAATGGGTCATTTGACAATCACTACCACTGAAGAGGTAGAAGGACGTTTGATCCAGTTGTCTGTCTAAATATTGTGCAGGCTCTGATACTATGGAAAACTTTGGAGGTGTAAAAATTTCTCCAGAAGGAGTTATTCTGCATTTAGAATCTGAAGAAAATGTATTTCATCGCCTTTCTTTCACTGCATAAATAGTTCTTAATGAAAGTTCAAGAAAGTTTATAAACCTGAAACAACACAACAAATATGTTTTGCTGTGGGTTTAGAAAACCGTTTGGAGCCAATGAAACAGATATTAATGGGCAATGTGTAAGTTGTACGAATCTATCCTCATATATCCTAGGAGTTACTGTGGTCTCCAGTGGAACCACTATACAACATAGGGCAATCAGAGAGAAGAACATCTGTTTTATTACCGACGAGATTGCGCTGCTTTATGAGGACACCAAGCAACGGCTGAATCCTATCACAGGGTACTGTACGTACTTTAAGTCCAAATAATTTATTGCAGAATGCTCTTCCTTCTTTTGCCTCCTGTCCTGCTGTTTCTGTGAACTGCACATGCAAAGTCCTGGGGTGAGCTTGCTCTTCCGTTGAGAATGACAACCGTTCCCTTACACTTTTTGCCGCGCCATTGTGTGCCTTATGGTTTGTGTAGGGAGAATCACTGTGTAGCATTTGACCTCGCCTTTTACAGTACTTGAATATGATGATGGCTGTTACATGACTGGAATTTCAACTGCATAATCTCTGGGCCTGTCTCCGGTGAAGCCAGACAGTATATACTCAAAAAAAAGTAATGCTCTGGAAAGCATGAGGGAAGAACAATGATGTTATCCACATTCAGAGATTATCTTTTACTCAGTTGTCACATATATTATTTTTCTACAGGCAAATGTGATTCTCGTTTAATGGCACACATGCAGTGCATTGTTCACACTCACAGAATTTTGCTTCAGTTGTTTTTTACATTAGAGCTACAAACTTCAATGTATTTTGTTGGTACTTTATGTTACAAATCAGCACAATGAAGAAAAAATGGGTGAAGTGAAACAAACATAATTCAAGGTTATCAAAGGTTGTTACAGAGAAAACCTGAAAGGTGGGGCTGACATTTGTATGCAACCCCCTTTAATCTAAATAATACTAAATCAAATCCACTGTATCCATATTTTACACCTGTCTCTTCCACACTGTATCTTGTTGGGAGTTTGTTTCTACCTCTAACAGTCTATGAGCAGGAGGCAGGGTACATTCTGAATAGGTCACATGTCCAAGCTCCGACCCACTGACGAGGGTAGCGGGTACCTGGCGAGAATGAATGTATGCATGTAGAGAAAATACAAACTCCAAGCAGAAAGATTCCAGGCTGGGGTTCAAACCCAGGACCTTCTTACCTCCAGGCAACAGTGCTACCAACTGCACCCCCGTGCAGCCCAGTGCATCCAGTTCACTTTAAAAGATTAGGAAACATTCTAGGTAGGTCAGGGGTTATAATTACAGCTCTATAAAGCAGGGTTAGCTTATATACCCAAATTCTCCATCCATAGTCTAAAAATGGTAACACAGCTACAAACTTCACCACCAAAACTGATCGACAAAGGGATCATTGATTAGAGAAGCAATTGATGGCCATGGTAGCTTTGGAGGAGCTGCTGAGATGCACAAGTGGCATCATCTCTGGACGGCAATACTTTTTTATAACCTCAAATCTGACCCCTAAAAAAACTTGTTCAACAATGTATTTACACAAACAGCTTGAATACATATAGACGCAATGCTTTTAGATTTTGATTACTAGAAGTATGTGAAAAACATGTTATTTTCCATCTATTATAAAATTATTCAAAATAATGTTACCTGTATGTCATACAATTCCCACTTAAAATGCTTTAAAGTTTTTGTATTGAGTCGCAACACGATAAAATTTGAAAGAAAAGGAAAGGTCTGGATATTTTGCAAAGCGTTGCACATTATTATTTACAAACAGTGTCTAAACAGTCAATTCATTTACTTCCTCTTCAGTCTCTCAGATGTAGTTATTTTTCATGGACATCAAACACTGACCTTTAGAAGCTCAGACAAGACATTCTGACCCATTTAACAGCACAGTTCTTTTGCAGAAAAGAGTGTACTTGATTTGCTAAACTGTATAAAGGACACCTAAAGCGAAAGATGAAAATTAACAGCATAATTAAGTGGTGAAACCATAATGGCATTTCGTATTTACCGAAACAAGAGTGATATCGATCCCAGTCAGGCCTTGATTGATCCCCAGATAGATGGGGTTAGCTTAAGTATTCATCAGCTGCCCAGTGGAGAGAGTTGTTATTGAGGGCAGGTGGTTGGAGGCTGCGAGTTAAAGCTATTAGGCCCCTGAGGCCTTCTGATAATAGGCTGTCACTCACAAATAGACACTACCGCAGTATCTATCAGATACTCGCACAGAAATTAAAGCAGTGTCTGAAATCTAAAGGATAACACACAATCACTAGAATCATCCGGATAACAGGATGGAGCTGAGATGCAACAACCATAATGTCTGATATGAATAAGGAGCTGAATTAAGTCATTTTTTCAAACTTTTGAGTTAAATTTACACAATACTATACATAGATATATTTGCTTTTTATTTGTCATGTGATATTTATACTTAACATTCATTCTTTAGGAGTCAGTTCTGCCCATATATTTAAATAAGATCCCAGAATCGCTGGCCCATTATGCCAAACAGGCTAAAACTTCCAGTTTCCTCATGAGGTTAAGCCCCCTGCATACCTTCCTCAGGCAAGGTTAGTATATAATACTTACATACAAATTAGGATTTCTATACATCTCAGTGAACTTTTCTGTCTCCTCTTTGATTTTATAAGTAAAACAACTGAATCATTTCCATGTCATTTCATTATTTACCAAACAAATAGCTCACATTTTCTTAAATTAGATCTCAGGAAGTTAATTCTAGTAATAGAAAATATAAATGCACATGTACTATTTAAGTATAGTATCTGTTTGTTTAGAACTTTTTCTGCATTCACTCTCTCCAGAAGGAGTGGTGGAGGCAAACCCCCTTCAGAGAGTGTCGCCCATCTAATAGTTGATATGCTTCTGGAGCCTGGGGTGAGGTAACCATGCTGTCCTGTGGAAACCAGCTCCACGGCTCCTGTCATCTGGACGATGTGGGATCTGCCGTTCCTCAGACCTCTGTACACCCAGAGATCTTGCAAGCCATTTGCATGTGTGTGGCTCAGGCTTGCCAGCAGCACTTTATCATGGGTTATATATCCATTGCTCTAGTTACCTTTGAAGACCATAGCACCATGAAGCATAAGGTGAGACTCTGAAAGGCAAAGAGGAGGACACTGAGGGTCATTACATATATTGTCCTGGATGTTACAACCTATATTGGTTGGAAACGATACATTTTTGTCCACAACAGATAGATGCCTCCAACATATAGTGCTCCCCTGGGATCCAGATAACAAGACGAGGTAAACTGTGGGCACTGGGACCAAATGTGTCACAAGGCCCTCTAATAAACTGTCAGGTCTTATTGTGTCAATACACTGATTCCACCATTTAAAGCTTGCCCTTTAACCTTACCATGCACAGAAATTCAGAAGCTTTCCAACAGTAGGTCATTCTGAAGTGATTTACTATGTTGACGGGGATAACCTGTCAAGTGTTTAACCCCTAGATGGTTACCTGCTGTGTTCTTCCAGAATAAATCACATTATTATACCAAGACACCACAGAAGCCACTTCTCATTTGTCAGTATTAAGTTTTGCTGAAAGCTTTTTGATTCATGATTTTTGAAATGGAGTTCTTTATGATGGTTTAACCTCTGCTCCCAACATGTGGCAACATTGACTGTTATTGATCTGAACCTGTAAAATGAAATGCTGTGTTTTTATTGTGCCCTCGACATTTCCAAACCAGCGGGATGGAGAGAAGAGGCACAGAAGCAATTTTAAATATATGAAAAGCATAAAAAAAGGGGGTATGAAGTGTTTATGCCTTTATTAACCCAAATTATAGAAAAAAACTTCTTGGTTCAGATCAGTTTTATTAAGGATTAAGTATATTAATTGTGTATGAATACTCCTCCCTGTTTAATACTTAGGCTGTTATAGTACATTCCCAGAGTGGGAAAATAACAAAACAAAATCATTAAGTAAATAAATAAAAGATTATGATAATAAGGATAGGTTTAGGCATGGTTACCACAAGGGTGTAGTGTGTTCTGGGTTAGATTATGATGGGTATGAGTTGTTTTTTTTTTTTAATCCACTTTTGAAATTATTTTTTATTTAATTTAAAACTTAAATTGTGTTAATAGAATTACATTTTTACTATATGTGTTATTTTATTAAACTACAAATTATTTTAATGTATATTTATTATAATAATAACATAGTTATCATCATAATCATACTTTTTTTTTTTTCATTTTACTTTAGTTTTTTTAAGAAAACATGTCTGTCTTTAATTTAAACATGGCATATTCTCCCCCTGTCCTTCTTTGGACTGGCTGAAAATAGGATTTTATCTCTGATGTTGACCCAGTCGCAAGGCGTTTGAATACAGCATAAATAATAATAAAGCAGTGACTGCTTTAACTGTTGCAGGAACTTTAATGGCAAATTCTTGACCATCTCCTGACTCACACAGACAAAGCTCAGGCTAAGGGGAGCCACATGGGCAAACCTGTCTGGATTTAAACATCAATTTAGATTCAAACCTGTTGCTAAAAGCTGCCTACTTTATTTGATGGGAAGAAGTGGGTCACATATGTTTGCCCTTGCAGTCTCGGCGCACATTGTGGAACAGCGGGGCCACAGCTGCAGCATCGGGGATTTTAATGAAAATGCAAGGCAATAGAAAACAGGTACAATCCAGGCTTACATTTCCCGCGGCTTTGTTAAGAGTGACAATGGGGCACGGGAGTATGAGTTTTAGGGAGTTTAGTGAATGGCTCGGTGTTGTGTGTCCATCACACTGGGCCACATAACAGTCTGAATTAAGCAGACATGCATTAAACCAAGTTGTGTCTTTTTTGCCTCCTACAGTTAGGGAACCTGAAAGCATTTTATCCTGCTACATCAGGATAATATGCATGTGGAAGTCTAATGAAAATTAAATGAAATTGATCTATTCCAGTCCACACTTTAAACCATACTTTTGCTTTGCAAATATTTTTACACCACTATAGATAAATGCTTTGATTAAAATGAAAGAATCGGATTAACTAAAAATATTGAGTTATTTAAAATCAAGAAACAAATTTAGATTTTTATGTTTTGATTTATTTATTTAACCCTTTTGTTGAAGGTTTTTTCCCCCCACATTTATTCAGTTTTCGTTATTTCCTTATCTTGTGTTAAAGTGTTTAAAAAAATGTTTTTGTATTTATAAAAGATGTCTTAAAACAGACCTAATAAAATCACGTTTTTTACATAAGTTACCGGTCATTTTGAGCAAAATTTAAGTATTGAGTATTTCAAAAAGATCTATATAAAAAAATGCTGCTTTGAAGTCATTTTCTGCGATTCATTAAGTAAACGGTTAAGTTTGAACATGTGACTTTGAAATATTCCTTGACTGCCTCACCATTTCACAATAATTTAGGATAAAAAAAAGGAAACTTTCATATGTATGTAATCTGTTAGCATTCTGAAGCCCGATTTAAGGTAGGATCAAACATGATGCAATTTGCATGCAGTGGCAGGAGCGCTTAGTTTGACAAATAGGAACAGCTAAAGGAGGCAGCCGACTGCCACTTAGTTATTAACAACTCTTTCACCGGTGATTTATTTGCCACTTTTGAAGAGAGGGCATAGCTATTAGGTTATTATCTGCAAAGTTAGCCCCATTTAAGCAGAAGGCTATGTCCAAACCTGACCCCTTAATATACTTATAATGATGCCATTTACTATACATATATGAACTTTGGTTCTCATCAGACCTGAGCCAAGCAAACCGCCCTGGGCAGATTGAAAACACATAAAGGAAGTATAACCGTATAACTGAATTGCCTACATATTTTAGCCACAGAGCTGCCTGGCCCCTTATTTTTGGTGTCTCTCTATGTGAATAACTTAATAATAAATGCAAATCTTGTCATTTAATGTCTTTTTGACAGGTATGGGCTTTTGATCTGGACATTGCATACAGTGATCAGGTTGCCATGACCCAGATGTTAGTATTGGTGACTGGAGGAATGTTAAATTGGCACACATGCTGTTTAGAAGTGCCAGTGGCCGTAAAAGGGAAATGCTCTGAACACCAGGCTGTAGCACAGGTATGACACCTTTTATAATGTAAACCAAAAACACTCTAAATTCAAAAACTAGGATATTGTTAAGGATTTTACTGTTTAGTTTTATTTGTCTGGGTTTTAACGAAGCATTAGTACTGCCACAGTAACTACAACAAGAGATCAGTGTTTTTATCTTTGCTTTTAGAAAACACACCTAAAAAACTGTAACTACACACCAAAGTCAATGAATGTTTAGGTGCCAAATTCATTATCATTTTGATAGATGAGCCTAAATAATCAACACATTAATAATTCATACCATTTTCATTATGCATGCTTGAACACTTCATCAACCTGGTGCCAGGACTTAAACAATAGAGTTCTTTTATTAGCAGTATGCCTGAGTTTACGCTTGTTAATCTGAGACTTGTATTATTTTATCAAACATTCATTTAGCTGGTGGCCCGGTGCTTCACTGCGGCAGTTGAGCCACTGCCGTTGTTAATGGCTTCAATAGTGGCCATCATTAGGGACCAGCATATTACAAACACAATTAAGTCCCTGTTGGACACTTTTATTGTTGGGTAAGGGCCCTGCCTTTGACAAGTGCAAGCACACAGCCTTCACAGCAAGTTATGGGCCATACTTCCTGAGCTCTCCAAGGCTCAGACCTGCTGCCTTTGTCTCCCAAAGGTGGCTGAGAACGGGCAACATTTTATCCTCCTAAGCACTGACATTTTTAAGTAATCAAGCTCTCTAGCGTTACTTATGATTGGAATCCTTCTGTTATAGTAATATGTTTTGTGTTTATAAAGCCCAGTTGAGCATTCTCCTTCTCTGAAAATCTATGAGCTTCCCATAGATTCTAGCAGCTAGACTAATGTATTAGATCTGCCATTTCTTATAGTTAATTAAGAAAGACCCAAGAGTTTTCTTCATCAGCCCTTTATTCATCAGGATGACCGATCATACACAAAACTTAGCTGCAATCTGGAGAATTCCCCTCTTTAAACTTTTATGAAAAAAACACAAACCAAAACCTTTTATATATAATTCCTTTTAAATCCACAATTTCCATGGTCTTACCCAAACAAACATGTAAAAGGATGCGCTCATTGGTATTTTTCACTGCATGTGTAACATGTATATTGTTTCTTTTCTGAATACATGTTTTTTTTTTCTACAGACTGCAAAAAACGGTCCAAAAACAGGTAATAATTTTTTTTAAATAAGTGTATATAGCCTTAATTGGAGTACGTAAATAAGATGATCTGTCTATAGAATGAGTATGTTTACCCTTAAATCAAAATAAGATAATTAGATATCATGCATTTGAAATCAGGGCCTGTAGTTGTTGTTTCTTATTTTAAATGTAAATTATTTTGTTCCATTGGGAAAGTGTACCTGCTCAATTTAAGAAAAAATGCTCCTATTTTAAGAAAAAAAATGACTTACTTAGGTTTAAAGTTTTTTGCTGTGCACACATATAAACTCTTATATTGAACCCACAGTAAAGGAAGTGTTGTAGACTATTGTCACCCATTGGTTAGTAAATTTTGTTTATTTATGATGCTTCAGAAAAGTCAGATGAGGTTTGTTTTACTGTTTTATAGTTGTTTTGTTTTTTTAAGACCCTACAGTGGTCAGTTGCAGTGCATTGATGGGGATGCACTTGTTTCACCCTGACCTTTCAATGCTGTACCACAAGTGTTATTTGAGATGTGCAAAGCTCATGGCATTGAATTTAAGAAGTTCAAGATTCTAGAGTTTGCATTAAAGATAAATCTATTTAAGAATTACATTGAAGCTTATTGATAACAGTATTTCCCTACTACATTACCTATTTTAAGGTCCAAACATAACTTTTTTAGAACAATTCCAATAGATCCTGTGTTTTAAGATTATAATGTTACACTGTGAGACTAATGCATATCACACACTGAGTAAACAAAAATGTACAAAAATCAGCCAGAAAGGATTCCTGAAGTTACATTTCTGGCTTGAGAACTAGAGGTCCTTGTCTAATTTGATTCCATAATCCAATAAGGCATCTGAAAATTGTAAAACACACTGATGCTGCAGTAACATAATGTTTGTTTCCACTTATTATATTGATCGTCCCAACCTTTGCTAGTGAACATTACTAAAATGTTTGTATGGAACAAATGGTTATAATTGTTGAATATTATTGTTATATGTTTCTAAAAGTGCTAACATGCCCATAGAGAACACTGCCTATTAAATCCTTTAGATTTTGCATAAATAAAAGAACAAAAAAGATTGTTTATCTTAACTTAGGTTTTGGCTGTTATCCATCTCTTGTTTGTGTGTCTGGGATCTACTTTTAACTGTATGTTTGTGACACTCCTTTTTTTAGCAAAAGCAAGGAACTGTTTTTGCTCTTTATGACAGCAGTGAGCGATGCACCATTGGAATGATGTGAATATTTCCATTTGCATCAGTTTTATTTATTATGCACAAAATAAAGCAGATAAGAGCTGAGGGGGTGTAACTGAAAAATATTCCAGAAGTTTTGCAAATGCTTAAAGGTGTATTTGAAGAAATGCTGCAACCCTTTCCTTGGAGTAAGGAGGTTCTCCTAATGCCTGCCCTTTAATGGAGTTTTTAGGTAAGGGTTTGTTACCTTTTTGCAGTAGTTTGAAGGTAAAGAAATTCTTTAATTTTTCATTCAAGGGCTCATTTGAGTGATTGTAGGACAAAATTGTCCAAAACTGACTTATCCAGCCAGGACAATCATCTGTTTCAACCATTATGCTGTTTCCAGTACATATTGATAAAAGGCAAACAAGAGTATACTTTCTGACCTATTGACCTTGCCGTAGTTCCTTGTATTTTAATTTACAGCTGTTCTCTTGATGGATAGTAAAGGCATATGCAGGTTAGGAACCTGAAATTTCACTTCATTAGAATAGGAAAGCACTGAAGAATGTTAGAGGGGTGATTAGTTTGCCAACGCTGAAGGTAAAAAAATTCTTCACAGGATGAAGATGCCACCTCAGGTTTTGTAAATATTAGGAACTCCACAGGTTGTTAAGCAGAGGGTTATTCAACATATTTATCACAGAAATCCGTTAGCTTGCACAGCGCTGGAACAGTTAAATCAAGCTGTGCTCATCCCCCTATAGACCGAAGATGCTATCTGCTGAAAGTTTCATTTACCCACAACCATCAAATGAACAAGGTGATTGTTTCTTAGCAGGCAACAAGGGGATCATTAGTAAACTCGTTTGTTTGGAATGTTGTTATTAGAGCAGTCTCTGAGGATCTCCAGGGAGCTCTGGTGACCTTTGCTCGCAATTTGTCAGTCATTCATCAGGAAATATCATCCCCTATAAAGCAAGGAGAAACCAATTTCAAGGTACTGTGTTAATGACTTAACGATCTCCCCTCATCCATGTCATGAAACCTTCATAATCTGTTAAAGCTTGTCACCTGGAATGTGTTTGCTTAATAAAGCGTCAATAATATATATTCATAAACGTTACATCTAGAACAATGTTGCTGATAGATTTTTGGCTGTTAAAGAATTCTGATTGAAAAAAATAATGCGTAGTAATTAAAATGTTCTTTGACTTTGTTTTTATGTAGGAGCTGATCAGAAATATAGAGGAATTTCTACAGATGATAACAAAGAACAGAAACCAACAGAAGGATAAGCCTGCTGTTTAGCTGCTTCATCAGTTATCCCTATGGATAGATAGCAACTTATGAAACCTATAGACGTCTGAATAAAGATCTTGATATGCTGCCATTCATCTGTCACATGTTAGAGTTTTGTATCAGAAATTTCTAGAGTGACTCTCCAAAATGTACACAACCCTGTTAAAAATATTCCCATGATAAAACATAAAAAAGACTAAGATATATTTGTCTTAAACAATTCATATGAAAGACAATGAAAACTTTCAGAGTATAAAAAGTGCATCAAACCTCAACCAAACATGTTTGACATTTCTACTGAAAAATATAGCAGCAACATGTTATTTTATTTTTGGTCAATGTTGACTATGTTTTGAATCTGAAAACATGAATTTCCTATTAGAAATTTTGTTTTTTGAAAGTTTAATAAGTTTGAAAATCCATCTCAACCAAATAAGTTGTTGTTTGTTTGTTTGTCTGCTGTAGTGTGTTGCAAAATACATCCTCACACAGGTTTAAAATAATTAATACAATTATAAATACATGTACATTGTTCTCTATGAAGATTATCTAAAAACACAATCTTACAAGTCTTAAAAAGGTTTGCTGAGTGTACATTAAACTGACATGACTGAAGAGTAGTTGACTAAAACTAGATACAACAAAATGTATAGAATTGATTAAAATATGACAAAACTAAATTTGCTTAAAAATAATATGATTACCATTAAACGATAATGTGCTTGTTTGCTGCATTTTTGTCACAACGACAGAAAATCCCAAGTCAGGTATAAGAATAAGATGTCATTTTTCCAAAAGGGAAGGTCCTCAGGACCCCCTGCAGTTTGCTTATCGCCATGGAGTTGGAGTTATAGATGCAATCATACACCAGAATCAATAAAACCACTGTCATTGAGACAAGACAGAAAACTGTAAGGATCATATTTTTTGATTTCTCTAGTACATTTTACATCATTTAGCCTGACTTTGTTAGGGTCTCTGGAGTTTTGTTGTTTTCTGGTGTGAGTGAGCTTCTTGTCACAGAGGATCTTTGCTGGTGGCTGTGCCGACACATCTTGTTGCACACATGAGAACTTTTCATAGTCAACATGACTGGTGTGAATATAAGAAGGCAAGGGATCTTCTCTTTTTTCCTGATGGTTTTAGTTGAATTATTGTAAAAATATCCCAGGATACATTGATACCTTCTAAAGATGTTTTATCATGGTGTCATTTTTCTATATGGCCGAAGCCTTTTGTTTTTAAACTTTTGAAAGTTGCTGCAGAGAATCAGTTCGTCCGAGAAACTTCATATTATAACCTGTGAATGTATTGATAGATATGCTTCATAGTGTATGATAATGAATAGCAAGTAATTTGCTGGACAAATAATGACATATCGTTTTTTTTTCTGCACTGTTTCAGGCAGAACTGATTACTTTGTTTATTAAATTAAAAGTGATGTATGTTAATTAAAGATAAGTTGCCAAACTGTTTTAAACCATGAAGATGTGTATATTTTACTGTTTAATTACTAAAAATGTAGAGGTTAATCTAACTGTTACTTTACTAAATCTATATCATAAAATGTGAAAATACAAAATGTTTCAGTTTGGTTTAAGACGTTAAACAAGTTGTGGATTTTTTGGTTTTGATTTTTGTCATTTTGTGATATTTATCAATGTCTGTACTGATCACTAGCCTTACGGTATTGAATTTATTTTTTGCACCACCTTGCAGTTTAATTTTTACAGTGCAGCTGTTGATGCTCTATCCTTTTTATGTACAACTATTCTTCCTATAGTCCTGAAAATAAAATTGATCGATTGACCTAATGATATAGACACTTTAAAAATGTAGGTTTTAAACCACCATTTAATTTATAACATGCTCCCTCTGTTATTATTACTTTGAAGTCACCAAACTGGAATCCCTACTACAAAAATCTAAAGGGAGCTAAAGGGATCTGAGAGATGTCAGGGAGGGTTACCCCCCCCCCCCTTCCCCCTTAAATTTATCACCTATGAATAAGCCCTTAAAATTCAAGAGTAAACATAAAAAAAGTTGCTCAACAATAATAAGACGTTTGACTGCTGTCAGACCAGTAAAGATTTTATCCATGACGATAGTGGTAAAAAAAAAAAAATAGACCTGCAATAAAGGAAACAGAAAACAAAATGTATTTTTTTTAAATTCATACTTGGGTTACATTATTCATTATAAGTGATACATGTCGTATTTTATATCAGAAGCAATTTATTGAACGGCAAAAAAAATCCGGATTTATTTTGGTATAAATATCTGTTGTACATGAGTGACTTTCCGAACAGGAACTTTACTCCTCGCGCAGTGTTTCCGACCGAACAAATTTGATCGAAGTACCCACATCAAAGAGCTTTAGCTGGATGAGGAGTTTCTTGCTTTGTCCTTTTGCTGGTGTATATTTCTTACCCCTGTCTCCGAATATGTAGATCTTGCTAGCGGAATTTGAAATGTGTTTCGTTGAAATTTAACCGAGTTGAGTTCGTTTGCTAACTTTTAAGTCGGTAGTGGGCCGATCCTAACAAATAGCATTAGCTGATTCCCAGTGTTGAGGGTTAGGGTTGGTAGCACCTGTCCTTTGGTCTGCGAAACTGTTGTGGATAACAATGTTATCGCCCCATTCGGCTCTACAGCCTCTTATTGAATGTAAGGAATGTGGAGTATTTTTATTCCGGCCTTGTTTGAATTCTATATTCACCCTATTTTATACATATTGTGTATATAAATATATATATAATAGTTTTCATTATGCAAAATCTCAATTTAAATTACAAACTCAGTATGTTTAAAAATTTCATGTGGACTTCTGTTAGGTCATCAAGTTTCCCAAATGAAATAAAGGTTTTCTCAAACATAGCACATGCTTGATAAACTACACCATCAATTTAGTGTAAACCTATTGTTGTTTGAACCTTCTGTTTATTCTGCTTTTCCATCTCGTGATGTACAGAAATAATCCGGTCAACACATTGCAGTGAACTAACCCTTGAGAAAAATGTTCAAACAGAATCTTATCTTCAACCATTGTAAAATTTAAAACCAATTCTTGTGTATTACAGAAATCATGAAGGTGTTTTTGCAGAGGATACACAACATCTTCCTGCAGATTGCTTTGTTTCCAAGCAGCTTTGGTAAAAAGGCTCCACTGCCAGCAGCATCAGAGGTGTTAACCTGCCACCTGCAGCAGCGCAGACTACCACCCTGGACTTCATTCTGCGTCCGCTACAGCTCTGTCCACAACGATCAGTTTGGCCTCTCCAACTTTAACTGGAGAGTTCAGGGATCCAATTATCACATTCTGAGGACAGGCTGCTTCCCCTTTGTGAAATATCATTGTACCAAAGCACCTCCACAGAACCTGGACTTTGAAAACAAGTTTTTTTCCATGCTAAAAGTTATTAATTTGGGTCAGTATTTTCATAATTGCCTAATAATAAATATCCCTATGTATCTGGAAAACTTTTTGACTTTATTGTCTTAGTTTATAAAGGAGTAGGAACAAACATTTCCGTATTTCAATAGCTATTTCAATAGTTCAAAGAAAAACAGATTTAATTTATTTAATGTATGATTTGCTACAGCTAAGCTTTTTCTCATGCATTAAACCAATACAATGCAAAAAGGTTTCCTGCTATGTGGCCCTAAACACTGGTTTACTTGCCCAACAAAGCATTAAAAGTATTTTTCCAGTGTTCTAGATTTCAGAACAAAAGTCACCTAAATTTGTTCAGTTGGACGCCCTCTTCAGCAGTGTTTTATCTTAAGGATTTATGTGACACAAGGATATTAAAATCCATCGTGACAATTTTTTTGTACCTAAAGGTCTAGTTGTTAAAACTACAGAACCTGATGTAAAGAATTCTATTCCAGATGAAAACAGACTGAAAATAATAGCTGTGTGCTCATTGTTACAGGTATCCCCTGTTTGGCATATGGCATTGGCTGCTGGATGGTGATAGGAGCTGCAGAAACAGTGCAGACGAGTGTTGGACCTGTCACTGTCTATTTTGCCTATAAAGAAGAAGAAGGTGCGCAGTACTGAAATAAAGGACTTCTTTACTATGTATTAAGACACTGATGTCAACCAAGCTTCTGGATTTTCTCCTGATAATGTTCTGCTGTATTTGGATTTGCTGTCATGCTGTATGCAGCAGGTGGCCTTGTCTGACTGCATGGGTTATGTTATGCTAAATTAATAAATATTTATTGTGCACCTTGATGTGTCATAAAGTCCATTCAACTTAACACATCTGTGCAGCACTATGGGTGTTAAAAACAAAATTTATCTAAACATTTAAAAAGTATACAAAATAATGTAAGTAGAAGGATTTCTCTCTTTTTGGATTATACTCTTTTTAGTTAGAGTTATTCATATAGTGCCAATTCACAGCCTGACATCTCACTGAGAATTTGGTGGAGTCAGATTGGTTAGATGTTTTCTACTGAAGGAAACCTTGTCAAATTCATCGAGTCATTGAATCTACAGGGTTCACTCCTTCTGGAAGAGCATGTGACGACAATATTCACTTTCATTTTGTCATTGACTCTACAGCAGAGGTCTTCAACAGGGGGTCTGTGACCCCTAGGGGGTCCGCGGAGGCACCGCATGGGGGTCATTTTTTTTTTAATATTCCCTCCTGAATTGAAATGTCTTTAAATCCACATTAACATGAATTGAACAGACTGTAGTAAACAGATAAATGGAGGCAGAAGATGTCTTTCAGTCATCAATGCTCACATTCAGCGACACACAGGAGCTCTTTCAAGCTGGGCACCGTTTCATTCACAACACCTGTCCCATCAACCAGGAATCAGAAATACTTTAATAATCCCAGGGAGGGATTACTTTAGTTACATTACTCCATCTGTAATAGAGTGACTATAGGACCAGGTTGATATAACACAATTTCATACAATATATATAATCAGCGGGTCCCTGCTCCATCTTGTCATCAGTTTGGGGTCCTTGGCCTGGAAAACGTTGAAGACCCCTGCTCTACAGCAATCGCTTAACCCTTTATCGGGCAAGTTACCATATTTGAGCACTTCGTTTCCTGTGATTTTAAGCATGAAAATGAAAATTTTTAAAAAATGTAATTACAGATTATTATTATTATTAATATATACCACAATGACACCCTGAGAGGGAAATTTAACATTTCAAAGTTTTTCAATGAGTGCCCTATAAAGGGTTAAACAGCGGATGCATACAGTGAGAGTGGAGAGGAAAAATTCCCTTCTAACAGAAAGAGACATCAAGAACAACCAGGCTCAGTGTGAGCGGCATTATGTCAGGGCCAACTGGGGGTTCAAGGAAATGTAAATTTAGAGGTTTAAGCCTAGCCTTTAAAATAGAGTTTCTGCCTTGCTGTCTAAGACTGCTAACAAATGCACCCCTACACAAGATATTTCTCATTTTTGCAATGTTCCAGGAATGAAACAAGGACATTCTAGGAAACTTTCATCATGGGATTTAAATTATATGGCCTTTTTACATTATTTTCTGCACCAATTTAATCCCTTTCAAATAAAGTTACTGACTATTCAACTTTCCTTTTAAATATAGTAACTTCTTTTTTGTCTGTATTCAAAAGCAGAAAATCATCCAGGTTTTTATGTCTTTGAGACATGCCTATAGTCTATGTAATGGTTTATTTTTAACAGGATTAAAGGACAAATAAAGCTGAGTATTATCAGTAAATTTCATATTATTTCATATAATTAATTTCATATATTTCATAGTAAGGAGAATTGGCCCTGGCACTGATCCCTGTGGTACTCCAAAGGAGACCCTGGTTATCTAGGAAGATGTATGATCAACATGAACAAACAAGTATGATTTAAACCAGACAAGGGCACTTCCCTTAATTCCTACACAATGTTTAAACCTTTGTTAAAGAATATTGTGATCAACTGTATCAAATGCAGCTCTGAGATCTAAGAGGTCCACTGAGTACATGAGAATATCATTAGTGTCTTTCAGTAGTGATGTTTTAGTGCCATGATGGGCTCTAAAACCAGACTGAGACTCGTTAAAAGGGTTATTACAGTGTAAGACCTCAAACACGCAATTAGCAACTATTTTCTCGATAATTTTAGATGAGATAGGGAGATTACATATAGGACTTTAATTTATCAACTCATTTGGATCAAGAGAAAGTTTACGTAAAGTAAAGGCTTAGTTATAGCTACCTGAAAAGCTTGCAATACTCACGCCCCTTTTAACTGTTTTAAAACCTTGTTAAATGAATTTCAGTTTTACAATATTCAGCACCATTTAACAATACATTTCCTTAACCAGGTAATAATAGGAAAAGTCATTAGATGTCTCAAGACTTAAGCTCAGATTTCCCTTTGACAGGGCAGGATTCTAAAGATGCAAACGGCCACAGTAAATGGTTTAGATCAAAGCATAGTTATTGGTTGAATGGGAAAGCCAAAATCCATACATAAATCCACTTCAAAATCTAAGTCTTTAAAGTGTGTATTTGCCTAAGCTTAAGGTATTTTAGCAACAATATGCACAGGAATGTATTCGCTTTATGAGGAAAGCTCCATGCACATTTGTAAAGACAACTGAAAACCATTTCCTTCTACTCCATAACTCTGTACTAATTTTTTTTTCAGCTACCCCTTAAATTCCTCTCTAAAAAGCAAGTTTTTAAATCACAAATGCTAAATGTTTTAGGTGTATTGATATTTTAGCAAAGCACTTTAAAGGCACTTGTATCAGATTTAAAGCTCATTTCCCTTTAAAACCAAGGGAAAGCTACTTTTAGTTATGTATTGTCCAGTTTGATGCTGATTGGAGCAGATGCACTTAACATTATTATAGTTTAAATAGTTTTCGTTACATATTTTTATATAACAATAGCTGCTGGTATCTATAATAGATTCTCTAAATCATGTAAGAACAAAATTTTCATCTTAGTGTTTAATCCAACTTTTAACTTGCATTATTTAAATCTGTGGTATATTTTCCTTGATAAAGCAGGAATCACTATAAGCCCAGAATATTTATTTAAAGTTGAATTAGTGGTCATCCTCAACACAACAGATGGTCAATAGTGTTAGAAGAAAATCAGTGGCAGGACAGCTCTGATGAAATAGGTTTTAATTACCAAAATGTGTCCTTTGTTGGAAGACGTGTCCATCCCTTCCTCCGGGCCTCACTGGCCTTTGATTTCTGGTAATGTGCTTTGCTGACAGCGCAGGCTTACCTCCGTTTCAGACTCCTGCGCCCTCCGAGAGTCAGGCTGACAAACTGCCTTATTGATTTCTCCCCTCAGCGTCTCCTATCCCTAGCATTTATAAGCGACCTCAATTTTCGGGCCTTGGCCTCTTCATTTTTAACGCAATGAAAATGAACGAATAATTTCTTGTCGTACATGGAAATCAATGCACCTTTTGACCTCTTTGTGCACACGAAGGCTGCGACGTGTCAGGCTATACACACTGTTTGAGACTGACCTGTTTTATGTGTTACTCCCTGTGAGAAAGTTTTACCAAACTTTAACTTAATCATTATCACCTCCATAAGAATCATGTAGTTGCCTCAGAAACCATGATATTTAACAAAAGGAGCACCTTTGTGTTGTACATTAATGGAAGCTTAAATTCAAAATAAAAAATACAAATTATTAGGGTTATAAAGTGATAATGTACCTTCACTCTACACAAATTATTTGTATTACCATGCAATATGTGTGTATAAAATCCTCCTCAACAGCACACTGACACCAGACTATGACTTTAATCAAACTAATTGCCCTGAACAAGGAATATTTAGACACACTTACAGAAATCTGATCCGTGGTATCAGACTGCACTTAAATCCTCCTCCTTTCATTGGCAACCTTTCATCAGTTCTGAAAGTGTGCATGGGGAATGCTCAGGCAACCATGTCTTAATTACTCATTGACCCTTTGACCCAAAGAGCTGCATTGATACCACCTTGCAGCTAGACACAACCGTCCGGGGTTGCAGCCGTCTTGCTGCCTTTCTGTACAGCTATTATGGGATGACGTGAAATCCAAACTGCGGAGCATGTGAGTGGATTGTATTTGTTTTCAGGGCTTCACCTTTGAGTCACTCTAAACTGCGGAGGGGGGGGGCTCCTCTTCAGTTCAGACAGAGGCTTAACATTATATATTAAACCTTAGTCACCACCACGATGGGTATTGGTTATCTGAACTGCAAATGGACTTCTGTAACTTAACAAAACGGAGGACTGCACTTACAGCAAGACTGATGCTTTTTAATAGCCTGGTCCCATATTGAAGTGTCTAAATTACACAACAGGCATCTAAAGTGGTAATGAGCAAACAATTAATGCCAGTTTGGCATGTTTAATTGCGAGCTGGTGCTGGTAATAAGTTTTGTCAAGGTGAAATCTTTAAATACTTGTACTATTTAGAGTTTAGGTAAGTAAAGCAAAACAAGTGCTCAGGCCGACGACTGTTAATGTGAATTGTTAATGTCGAGCAGTGAAATTGCTAATCAACTTTCAGAGAGTTGTAATTATTTTCTAATTAGCTGCGGCGTTGTTCAGTTTCTTCGGTCTAAAAAAAAAAATACTTTAATCTCCTTGAAATAGTTGATGGAGCCACTCTGCAAATGAATTATTTAGCACACCAACGTTTTCCCTGTCATACAGATATATGGCTTGGCAGAAACAATTATTGCACGAACAACCCCTGCAGCTAATGCTGGAGAGGTTATCATTATGTGAGCCTGTGGAATCGGCCACCGGCGTCGTATCTAAGCTTTACTCTGCAAGCAGCAGGGATACCTGAGCCATCACTCAGATCACTTTAAGGACAGCACTGGAATTACATGTTCATGCTGATGTCTCAGCCAATAGTGTCACAACATTTACATTGAAATGGCATATTTCGTTATTCCTACTGTGACGCCTGAAAAAGAGATTTATTTTTTCATCAAGAGTGTTGTCTGAATGAGTACATGCCAGTTTGATCAGCTTTGCCTCAATAGTACTATAGGAATACTTCTTTATTTAAAATATGTATTTTCTTTTTCATGTACCAAGTGAATAATAATCTATTAGGTGAATTTCTTCACCCTTTGGATAAGAAAGAACACTATAATTTATTTCACTACCTACAAAATCAGCTTTTTCCATAGGTATTTTTCAGTTGAGGGCGTTTTTGGTCTAAAAGCACGCCCAGTGGTAGCCAATAACAAATTA